ATTCAGGAGGTCTTGTTTTTTTTTTTTTAGAAATGTTGAGATGTTTCGGTCAGGTGCCGCGACAGATCTTTTGTGTTGTTGTTGTAGCTTTTCAACACACGACATTCAGACTGGTGCCTGACAGAGGGGCAGTGAAAAACGAGCTCTGCGTGACTGCCCTGCCCTTTCCCCTGCTCCAGGAGCTCTGCGTGACTGCCCGGCTCCCCTGCCGCCTTGTCCTGTATTTCTGGGGGGTTCCCCCACGAATAGCGCTGGTTTCCGTGATTGAAAGACATTGCGATGGGCTTTTTTTAAAAAAAAAAAACACAGGGAAGGCGAAACCAGGCAAGGCGCAGAAGCGGACACGTTATGAGGACACGCAGGACGCGCCTGGTCTCCCACAGGCTACAGGAGCTCATTCTCTTTAGTAGTCCAAGTAGGCAGCTGCGTCAGCACGCGTGGGCTGTAAAGTTAAGGTTTCTTCCCCGCTGGAAGGAGAAGAAAAGAAACGCAATGTTGAGGCTATGGAGCCGTCTTGAGACACTTCCCTTCCAGACAGGGCCGGGCAATATCCCTGTGGCAGGCGGTGTGTGTGTGTCTGTGTGTGTGTGTGTGTCTGTAACGCCCCCCTCTGTCCCTGTGCCGCTCAGGGATGGACCGAGCGCTGCTGCCGCTGCTGCTGCTGGGAGTGCTGAGGGTCCAGGGGGCTCCGGACGCGGACGAGATCAAGTACCTCCCGGGCCTGGAGAAGCAGCCCGGCTTCAGGCAGTACTCTGGCTACCTGAACGTGTCCGGCAGTAAGCACCTGCACTACTGGTGAGTGTGGTCCCAACCCCTGATCTTTCCAGCTCACTGCCCTTCCTGCTCCCTGCTGATTCTGGGAAGCGAGCGTGGGAAATTCCCAGGGGGGATCCCTGGAGCTGGTGACTTGGTTTCCAGGAGACGTCAGGCGGCCCAGGTGAGGGGGCCCTCAGTTTCCAGTAGTTCCCAGGGCGCGTCACGGGATTCTCCCGGGATCGGGAACCCCCTCATTCCTGGTTAGGACCCCAGGGATCTGGAAGCACAGGGTGCCTGTCCATCGCTGGCCATGCCAGCGAGCCCACATGGACACGTCAGGTTATTTCCATGAAGGTCAGGAGCACTTGCTCAGACGTACACCGGCAATCAGCCCTCTGCTGCCAGGTGGGTTCTGTGCCTCCCGTGTTGTGCAGCATGAGGTGAGCTGAGCTCATGGGAATAAACATTCACAGACCTGCTGCAGGGTGCGCTGCTGCAGCTCGGGGGCCCCAGGCCATGCGGTGTCTGGAGCAGGAATTGAAACCGCTTGCTCTGAATTCCTTCCGATCCCACTTCCCTTTCTCCTGAGACTCCTGCGTGAGAGGGCCTTCTGTTCGGCTCGACTTCACAGGCGTCACTGCTCTGAATGCCATCAGAAGGTGCTACCTACCTTTCCAGTAACAAGACAGGAACAATCCGATGCTGGTAAACAGAGAGTGGCTATTTCAGAACACAATAATCCGGCTCACAGAATGGACTTGGGCCCTTAAAGCTGAGTGTGTGCCCCTCCCTGTGCTGCAGCGTCTCATACCCTCTCGAAAAGAGAGCCTGTCTTTGCATTTTGCCTGTTCCGCCTGTGTGCTACTTCTCGCTTTCCTCCCTGTCCGAGCTCTCTGCTGTCTTGTCGCCAGGGAATGTCGTGACCCGGCCCCTGCCCCTCTCCTGCAGGTTTCTGGAGTCCCAGAAGGACCCGGCTGGCAGCCCCGTGGTTCTGTGGCTGAACGGGGGACCGGGGTGCAGCTCCCTGGATGGGCTGCTCACCGAGCACGGGCCGTTCCTGGTAAGAGCGCCTGCCCACACGGCCCTGGGAAAGATCCGGGAGGGCGCGCACGTTTTCCCGCGTTTTGGGGAGGTTCCCGGGAAAAACCAAATCCAGCGGGCGCCGGGGTCTGCCTGATTCCTTCGCCAGGTCTGCATGTGGCCTTGGGCAGCGCTCCCTGCCAGCCGTGTTGAAAGATCTGGGCGCGGGGGCGAATGAAGGCCTGTTTGTGATTCACGTCTGTTCCTGCTGCAGATCCAAGACGACGGCGCCTCTCTGAAGTACAACCCCTACTCCTGGAACACGGTACGCTCCCCGGTTCTGCTCGGGTTTCTAAACCGGTTCCGGTTTCCGATCGGGTCTGAGCATTATCCCGGCGCCCTGCTTTGTGGTTCCTTTCCCGATTAAAGGAGGAAGTGGAACAGTCGTTACTTGAGAGTTTTTTTTTTTTATAGGAGAAGTCACACACGTCAAAAAATTAACAAATACATTCACATTCACCTCTTTTTCTGTGTCAAAACGAAGTGAAAAAGCAAGTGGTCGAGGGATTGCCCTTCCTGCGATAGTCTGAAAGATGAGCAAACGTGAGGACAGCCGTGAGCTTCCCTCACCTGCTACATCTGGAGTAAAGTTACGCGTCGTTTTCCCAGCACCTGGCAGACCTGTCCACACGAGCTCACGAGCGCCGACTGCTGTCGGAGAGCCAGCTGACATCCTAGCTACTGTGCGGTCTTGATATTGAGCAACAGGAGCGACTGACACATCTGGGTCTGCGCCCCGAGAAATACCACCCTGTGCCCAGAGCGGCATGCAAATGGCGAGTCAGAAGTGCGTTCAGATGAATGATTCATGGAAAGACAATCTGAGATGAAAAATTAAACAGCTTTTTGAGATGTGGGGCGTGGAAGATTTCCAGAGGGAAGGGTGTAAGACCTGGGAGTTCACGGGCGTGCCTGTCGTCCGCAGATAGCCAACATGCTGTACCTGGAGTCTCCAGCAGGGGTGGGCTTCTCCTACTCGGATGACAAGGACTACGTCACCAACGACACGGAGGTGAGTCAGCGGGGGGGACGGAGCCCCGGTCCTGGCGCCGCCGTTTCCCAGCGCCGTGGGGTTTTGCACACGTCCTTCTGCGGACACAGACCGGACACCGAGAGCTTGACCGCTCGGGTGTTTTTTTGCTGGAGCCCGTCTGCAAACATGCCGAGGTTCGAGAGGGGAGATGCGTCGGCTCTCCAGCCCCACAGGCACCGTGGAGTGGGAAGAAGAAGCTGGGAGGTGTGTGGGCTCTAGAACAGGCACTGCTGGAGCAGACCTGTTTAGAGGAGCTCGCCTAGGGAGCTGTCAGAATACATAGGCTGCAAAGGAACAGGTATGGGTACCGTTCAGCATGGAATCAACCTTTACCCGTTCCTTTGCAGACACGTTTAGCCCCAGTCTGAGGTTTTAACGAATACCCTGCTAGCACGGACTGTAATTCATTCTGCAGCGAGTGATTGGAATATATATTTTGCTTGTTTAAAATTGAAAGGAGGCAAGAACATTAAAAAAAAAAAA